GCTTCACGTATTGCTCCCCATGGGCAATGAACCCGGGCCTTCGGCGTGACGAGCGAACGCTTTAACCAGGCCACCACACTTCCCCATGTGGTTGATAGCTAGGAGGGTCACCCAGCTAGATACAATGCTGTGTTAATAATAATAAAATAATATGTGTAATGCATGTCAGTGTGAGTGAGTGAGTTTAGTTTTACACCGCACTCAGCAGTATTGCAGCTATATGGCGGCGGTCTGTAAATAAACGAGTCTTGACCAGACAATCCAGTGATCAACAGCATGAGCATCGATCTACTGTGTGTGTTGAATACGGGTATCAGCACAGATATGTAAACATCTGATGAAGGGTGAGTGCAATGAACATCACATCGGTATTATCACAGCATGAAGTTGGAGAAAAGCTGAACTACCATGAGATAATCATTACTTCGGGGAGACCTTGGGCGACGATCTTGTAAGCACATCAACCATCATAGTCCGGACGAACGTGGGATTCGAACCTAAGATCAGCGGATCCAGTTACTGATACGGGACGCAACTAATCACTGCAAAATGCGACTATATACACGGAGGTCTGTTGGTCACAGGGGTGGTGGGATAGCCTAGTGGTTAATGCGTTCGCTCGTCACGCCGAAGACCCGGGTTCGATTCCCAACAAGGGCACAATCTGTGTGAAGCCCATTTCTGGTGTCCCCCGCCATAAAATTTGATGGAATATTGCTAAAAGCGGCGTAAAACGTAACTCATTCACTCACTGTTGGCCACAAATGTTTTCGTAATGAGTGAGTGTGTAAATAATCGAGTCTGGACCAGACAATTCAGTGATCAACAGCATGAGCATCGACCTACGCCATTGGGATACAATGACATGTCCGCGAGACTGACCACCTAGTCCAGTTAGCCGTCTCCTACGACAAGAATGGGTTACTGGAGATCAAATCTGACCAGGATCTTCACGGGTCCTGCCCAACTACCCCCACCCCCGACAGACCCTCCTCTCGACAGACAGACAGACAGACAGATAGATAGATAGAGTTTGCAATACATGACGTAACGTATGACCATCCCATTGTGTTCACCATACCCCCTCTACCACCAGTTCTGGTGAGCTGAGATCTCAATTGTGTGACATCCAATCTCCTGTAACGGTGAAACAGCCATGATCGGGCTACCGGCAACTCACGATACGATACATGGCAACTATCAACGGTGGGATATATGCAACTACGATCCAGAAATATTTAATTCACACGCAGATTATGACACGATGACAGACATAATGGGGAGCCAGGACATACAACATCAAGTGATATTATATTCTTGGCTGCATTACGACAATAGCATTAGCGCTGTCAGTGTATGTCGAAATTGTTTTGACCCCTGTCAGAACTCTTTACGGTAGAAAGAAAACAGGATAGGTCGCCGGCCGGAAAAATACTGGTTCTGTTAGAAGGGTGCGCTTACCACACAAAGGATCTGGTTGCCAGGGTGTTAATTCCGCGTTCATCATATCGGGCAGGAGAGCTCATGTGTTTTATCTATAGTTCTGTCTGTTCAGAAAGAGAGAGCGTTTGACATATTATATGTGAATGCGTGTGTGCGTGTGTGCGTGTGTGTTTGTAGTAAGAATACCACACCGCAGTTTACCATGAATAGAACAGACCCAAGTCCATGTTTACGGCAATATTTTCCTTGTCGAGTCAAACAATGACATACAGTGACTTACAGTGACGTACCGTGACAAATAGTGATATAAAGTGAAAAATAGTGACATACAATGTCATATATAGTCTGTTTGCAGTGAAAACGTACCGATGAATTTCACTTTAAACAAAAAAGTAAATCAAATAAGTGAAATTAAGATTGCGAATCCTCATAATTTATTATTATTGGTTTGTATTACAAGGAATTAAACGCAGTAATTGGAACAGTGATACAAATCCACGTGCAGTACGTGATGAGCGTTAACTTAGACCAACCCTACTTCTTCTCGGTGTTTCATTTTATGTGCATACCCCCTTGTAATACAAACCAACAATAGCTATTTGAAACTATGATCGTTTGTTAAACAACTTTTATCCTAAGTTGAATAAAATTCTGATATTTAAATGTTCAATTGGCAAGGTAAAATCATGAGGATTCGTACTTCTAATTTGACTTTATTTGATTTACGTTTTTGATTAAAGTGAAATTCATCGGTACGTTATCACTGCAAACAGACTATAGTGACAAATTGTGAAATAGACAAATGTGACAGGGCTACACAATAACATATAGTGATAATATAATTATACAGTGTCATACAATTTCTGAATAACACAAGGTGATCTACAATGAGTGAGTGAGTGAGTTTAGTTTTACGCCGAACTCAGCAATATTCCAGCTTTATGGCGGCGGTCTGTAAATATTCGAGTCTGGAATAGACAATCCAGTGATCAACAGCATGAGCATCGATCTGCACAATGGGGAACCGATGACATGTGTCAACCAAGTCAGCGAGCCTGACCACCCGATCCCGTTAGTCGTCTCTTACGACAAGCATGGGTTGCTGAAGATCAATATTCTAACCCGGATCTTCACGGGTTGATATACAATGACATACAGTGACAGATAGTGACATACAGTAACATGTAATGACAATAGTGACATACAGTAACATGCAATGAAAATAGTGACATACAATGATATACAATGTGTATGTGTGTGTGTGTTTATTTTTACGCCGCTTTTAGCAATATTCCTGCAATATCACAAGTGATTTACAATGACAAATGATGACGTACAATGATATACACTGACAAATAGTGGCATACAGAGAATCTCACCCGAGTGTCTTTTGATATCAAATATATCACCACGAGTTGATAAAGTTACAAATATCCGAGGCTTGCCGAGGATTTTTTTACTTTTATCAACGAGTGTTGATATATTTGATATCAGTGGACACGAGGGTGAGATTCTATTTATCATCTTCTTTAGGTTTCAATGAAAACTGTACATCTGTGAACACGGTGCTGCCATTACACTTGCAGTGCAGCGATGTCATAGCATTGTGACGTCATCAAGTTCATGACGTCATAGCATTATCAGGGCATTGTACAAAATCTACTGTCAAAATGATATCTCCTAGGAGATATCGTATGATCTCAAACATGCAACATCTCCCGTGGAACACAGTTTTGGATGATAATTAAGAAATACAGTTCGCTCTACCACCATGTATAGTGTAATAAAACACTCTTTTGCCCTGAACTATTATAGTTAAAGCACGAGGACGCTTGCGTCCGAGTGCTTTAACGTCATAATAGTTCAGGGAGAAAGTGTGTTTTATTACACTATACATGGTGGTAGAGCGAACTGTATTTCTTTTCTAAGATGCCAAATTTAATACTTTCTAAGGATAATTACGATTAATTTAAGGCAGAAAACAAACGACGGTGTCGGTGACCTAAATTAAGAATCCTCGCACAGGGCTAACTGGCGCGCTGTTCTATTGATGTGTCTGCCCCCCTACGTTAAGATGAACGTTACCAGAAAAACAAATGATAAACAGTTTCATGACGGTTTACGTTCGGATTAAATATCTTCTCTAAAGTATTTTAATTACATCTGTGATTAACGTAAACCATGTGAACGTCGCATTTCTACTACCAACGTATGTTTAGATCAGTACATCCAGACGAAGCTGAGTAGTCTAGCGACATTCCACGATTGCATTGTGGGAATGTAAACATTGCGAACGTTACCGTGTCGCTGAAAACTTGCGAGTCGAATTGAGACATTTAAAACGTCAGAAAACATAAACGTAATGTTTCCACCAGTGATGTTAGGTGAGTGAAGCAACTGCAAACCAAGAAACGGGATGCAACGCAGTAGTTTACTGTAGGAGGCTGTACGAGGCGATGACAACTGACATGCATCGTGACGTCGCTTACACTGTGACGTAATGTAAAATGGTTCGATTACGAGGGGGCACACTAGAATGGCGCAGTGACGGGATAGCGTCATTCAATTGTTACGTCATCAAAAAAACTATACCTTTATTGTCTGATAATGTATTTTTTTTCCGAGTGTTCTAAGCGCTAAGCATCTTAGAAACGATGATATACAATGACAAATAGTGATATACAGTAACATACAATGACAAGTTGCGACATACAGTAACCTACAATGGTCACATACAATGGTACACAGGGACAAATGGTCACATACAGTAACATGCAATGACAAATAGTGACATACAGTAACATAATGTGACAAATGGTGACATACACTGCCATACAGTGCCATACATTGACACAAGGTGATATACAATGCAAACAGCCGAAGTTGAAAACGTCGTCGCTTAAATTGTAAAGTAAATGCGCACAAGGGGAAGATGAAAACAATATACTTAGTTGAACCAGGCCTAATGCTGCAATAGATCGATACCTAATATCATGTCTGAGAACATCAAGCCATGTCGAGGTCAGATCTTGAATAATAAACTTAAATGTTTAGTTCAGTCAGCCCCGTTGTTTCTGTGGTACATCTGTATAACATTTCATTCGGTTTTTGTATAATTTAATACAGAAATATCCCATACAGTCAAAGCCCTGAGTCTCTCAAATCTAGCCACGATCAATTTCTTTAATAGCCTTTACACTCATTTTGGATACAAAATCCTTAAATTTAATTTACGCTTTACAAGAAATGAAACCCAAAAACCTGTTGTTCTCTACTGATCTGAATTTTCGATATATATGATATAAGAATGATTCAATTAAACATGATCTCGTTTGGTTTTGTGAACACCCCTTCAGTTTATTCGCATGTTAGATAATAAGAGCTTCCAACCAACTGTTATCCACCACAAAAACTGCTTCCACTCGACCTTTGACAGTTCGTCCCAGCAATATCTGACACGGAAAGACATCTTCAAGTTGCTGCAGCCAACAGTGGATGTTGGAGAACGCTAGACGCAGTCACAACCACTGCGACCCTTTCACACACGGCCTCTCTGGTAGACAGTGAGAGATCGTTACAGCGTAGCGCGCTGTGCGGAGTCGCTCGCTCAAGTCAGATACTTTGGTGAGAGATTTTGGACGGCGCTGTACAGCCGGCAAAAGTGCTGAGGAGGGCGCATTGTCACGTGACCTGTGTGTATGCATCGCTGACTGTGTGACCACGCGAGTTGAACGGTCAATATGGAGGGTGATAGTTGCCGAAGTGGAAATCTGACCATTCGGAGTGATTGAAAACAGCTTTAATCTTTTCCGGAACTATTGGATAAAACTTGTGACTGTTGTTTTCCTTTTACTGGAACAACGTGATATTACTGAGATCTTCTCAGCATGTGGATTGTCGTTGTAGCAGTTGTGGCTTATGTCAAAGGTAGGTCGCTTAACTTTTTCTACTTTTAATTCGATTTTGTCATTGGCTTATGTCGACATTAAGTTGAAACAAGAACGTGTGTGTTGGTTGACAAGGGTGCAACCGCACTCGAGGGGAGTCTTGTGAAAGTCGACATGTCGGCATCTGTTTCACTCAGTCGCAGAAACGGATGTGCAGATCTCCAGATTTCTGCTTTGTTTATTTCACCAACACAGCACAACTTAATGTAACACTTTCAGAAACGTGTTTTAGAAACCGGAATGGTAGCACCAGAAGTGCCATATTACGTTTGTCACTGGTGTTACACACGATATCAAATATCTGTTACACATGATCATATTTCTGTTACTCTACAGCTTGGATATAATATCTGTTACTCATCTGTTGTCATAAAGACAAAACCACGTGGTCAGGTTACATTACAGTGATTGGTGCACAAGATGTTGAAAAAACTATCACATGTACATGTTGTTTTAATGAGCACAAAACAACCCCGATCTCGCGAGAGTCTATCCTTCCACCATCTATCAAACCATCTCTGGTCCTTCTCGTCGCTCACATGAAGTTTTTGTCGTCCTAACACGTGACAAGTCAAACGTTAATGTGCTAATTATAATAATGACATTTACTCAATTCTTATAAATGTCAACGAATAAGCTGTACACCATCATGAGGGCTTACTGTTTGTCCGTAATAGATTTACATATATACAGTTAATGCAAGTTGTAATTCGACACACAAACGAAATTACAACATACCAACAGTTTTCGTATATACAGAACTATGCAGATACTACCAAATGAACGTCTTCCTCGTTTCTGTGATCTTACATATTTGAAAAGGCAAACACAGTGATGTAAGTTTCATCTGTTGTGACATGGCTGTCATGCCGCATCAGCTGTCGGATACGTCGGTGATGAAATCAACATGTGTCGATTTCATCAATCGATTCATTTGTCAAGGAGTTTTGTAAAACACGTGCATTTTCAAGCATAATCTGTGTAGCGTCTGTGCCAAGTGAAATGTTCCACCTCGAGTGGTCGGTGTTAATTACGCATGCATGGCCGAGAAAACAACACAAGACAGCTGAGTAATCGATTTCATATCAACAACGAATTGGCTACATCGACCAAATGTAATCACTTTTCAGAAACGTCTCAAGTGAACTAAGGCATGTACCTGGTGTGTATTTCGTAATAAACTCTGTTCATAAATGATCAGCTCCGTACACAAGTACGTAGCGACTCAACAATCGTTTTTCTGGCTCGAGATTCCAAATGGTATTTATAACGTCAATTGGGCAAGATTAGTTTGTTGTGAAAATACAATGTCGATTTCTGTCATCGATTATATATCAAGAATTAAGTGACGAAAACAGCGATTCGAGGTCACCAAATACAAGAGGTTACTGTAGATTGATAGCCTTTACAGCGTTTTATTCAAGCATAGAACGGCGTTATGTTAAAACGGAATAAATGACTTCAGAACACGATTAGCAGAACATATACTCATTTTTACCAAAGTTTCTATAACCAGAACAGATGCCAACTTTGATAAAATATTATATAAAAGTATAGAGTCTTATGGTTTTGTTTCCAAACCAAAACGTTCACTGACTGTGGTTCTACGTCAATATTTTATTATACCGAATTTCTGTGCTTTATAGTCGACTTCTACACAAGCGTTAAATGAAGCATTGTGAACTACTTTAGGAAACACGACACATTTTCTATATATCAATCTAAACTATTAAAACAATAGTTCAGGGTTTGTTTTTTTATATTAAAAAAAACTTTCCCCAATACACAGACATGTGTAAAATGCCTTTATTTATAATAGGAAGACCTTTGATACTTAAAACGTTTTTGTTAGAACTTTCTTTTTATTTACAAATGTTTTTTACAGTGATACAGTGGTAAACTGTTGCTTAATGATTCAAACATGACATAAACATTAAGGTATCTCTGTGCGAGTGATATAACTCGAGGACATTCAATAATTTATGTTTTATCACTATTGGGATTGTTAATAAAAGTGAGATGCAGCTACAGCACCTTAGATATAACGGTACAAGGAGGTACTTAATTGTTGATGATACAAACGTATTTGGTTGCAGCACGGCTAACGGAGTTAGGTATAGGAGCAACTATTAGCTTTGATAAGAAAGTAATATAGCCTACTTTATGGATGTCAACTTCTTTATTATAAATGCAGCATCATATTTAATGAAGAAGTTGTCATACATAAAGTATCTTACTTTCTTCTTACTCGGCAACTTCTAAAATGCCTATAAGTCAAATTATTAGCTTTGAGGCTGAAAGTGTCGATATTTCACAGCCCTTTAAGTGTTCAATATTATGAAAACTATGTGTTAGTGAATCCTAAAACATGCTCGTGATGGTGAAGGGATAACACAATAGAGCAGACATATATTCATGCCAATAATGGTTATCACCCCCTCCCACCCCACACCTCACCCCCTCCCACCCCCTCTCAAATTAAAGAAATTGACGGGGGTGACAACCATCATTGGCACGAGTATATGATCTGAATATGGGAACACTTTGTTGCTGTTATGTAATATATCCACACATTCTTGAATCTAGGTGTACAAAACTCATCCAGTGCCCACTGGAGATTCATATCCTTGATCATCATTATTATTATGCTTCAATAATGATGGTTATTAGCGAAGCCTGAAATACGAAAACGGATCCATTATTCATATTATAGTTCAACATAGAGCTGCGTCTTGGAATATGCTGAGTGCTTACCGAGAACAAATTGTCAACTTTAATAGAAGCACCAGTTTTAGACACGTTCAGAGAACAAATTGTCAACTTTTGTCAGACACGTTGTCAACATTAATAGAGCACCAGTTTTAGACACGTTCAGAGAACAAATTGTCAACATTAATAGAAGCACCAGTTTTAGACACGTTCAGAGAACAAATTGTCAACATTAATAGAAGCACCAGTTTTAGACACGTTCAGAGAACAAATTGTCAACATTAAAAAGAGGCACCAGTTTTAGACACGTTCAGAGAACAAATTGTCAACATTAATAGAAGCACCAGTTTTAGACACGTTCAGAGAACAAATTGTCAACATTAATAGAAGCACCAGTTTTAGACACGTTCAGAGAACAAATTGTCAACATTAATAGAAGCACCAGTTTTAGACACGTTCAGAGAACAAATTGTCAACATTAATAGAAGCACCAGTTTTAGACACGTTCAGAGAACAAATTGTCAACATTAATAGAAGCACCACACGTTCCAGAGTCAACATTAATAGAACATTAATAGAAGCACCAGTTTTAGACACGTTCAGAGAACAAATTGTCAACATTAATAGAAGCACCAGTTTTAGACACGTTCAGAGAACAAATTGTCAACATTAATAGAAGCACCAGTTTTAGACACGTTCAGAGAACAAAAGCACCAATTGTCAACATTAATAGAAGCACCAGTTTTAGACACGTTATTGACGGTAATATTATCACAGAGATAATAAGACACTGTGTCTGTTTACCAGTCTGTTTACCGTTACATTAAACCGTTATCTCAGTGTTGATGGACAGAGAAGTGAATTCTGTGAAAACGGACAGATTTACACTTTTAGACCAGGTTTGTCATTCCTAGTCTTCATCCCTACAAAAGATGCCACCGTGATGCTGAAAGACGGGTCTCCGAAAGTACCGCAGCTTAAAACTGACCATATAGAATCATGAAACGACAATGAAATAACTAAAATATTGAAATTTAGTTCAAAACCATTTGATGACGATTTGGATACGTACATACATGCGTATGACGTTGATTTTTGTGTCCCGATTTCCACTTTTATTCAACTAAATGTTTCAGCGATAAAAGCGACCTGTGTTTCATATTTCCCTAGATGTGGAATATACATAAACATGGATGCCTGCTCGACTGTATACTTAAACGATCATTTCTGAATTTGATTATGTACATGATGTATGTGTTTAACATTAGAGGTTTATTTACTGTTAGCATATCAGGAATAAGTCTTTAAATATGCAATGGTTTGAATGTATCTTTTCTGATAACGCTGCATCAAAATTTAAAATGCCTTTCGCTTAATGAATCTATTTTTTTATATACGTCCTTGATATATAATCTTACACTTAAACACATCAAGAGGTTCGAATTGTATGCATACAACACCCCATTAAAGGAAATTATGATCAAATATGTTCATTCCGTGCTGAATATAGAATGAAAATATGTGTATTTCTTTACAAAATTCTCTTTGTGTAGAAGGTGTTGATAGACATGAATTTCTCGAGATATCGTTTCCTATATTTCTTGTCAATTTCAAGTTATAAAATCAACGCGTCACTTCCGTGTTTTTCTTACATCAATATTTGACGTGTTTTGATAAACAATCACGGATATTCCGTATTTTGACAGGTAAATATCAAGCGCGGGGAACATATGGCCAAATTATCCCATTCAAAATACGTTTGACGCATCAAAGACGGCAATTTCAATAGCCCGTAAACATTTGCCGAACTCTTGCCTCGCAAAAAGCGTGTTAATTGCAGTCAGTCAGTTCGGCAAACGGGGTGTTAACGATCTGTTTCAATAGTAGCAATTACTTCGCAATCGTTACCACATCTATTGTTGACAATCAAGAATCGGGAGATAATGATTGTTGATTGCAAGTGCAGTGATTCATTTAGACCGATGGAACAGAGTTGTTTCGCGGTATACGAAGTGTCGGAGTAGTTCGTGATTAAATCTTGTTAGGTATTATTTTCATTTCTGAATCGTAAAAAGCACCGGTTTAATCACGAACGTGACTATTTCGTTTTTTCTCAATCGGAATGTGTTTTGCGGTGACTCATTATCGATCTCTGAATTGTTGTCATTTATCTGTTAATAAAGGGAGACGTTCCAATAAGAATGGTTGATCAATATCATCATCGTAACAAATATTAGCATTATTATAATGTTGTTTCAGTTTATGCCACAC